ACGCGTTGTAATTTTGGCGCGTTGTAATTTCTACGCGTTGAGTTTTCAATGCGTTGTAATTTCTACGCGTTGTAATTTTGGTGCGTTGTAATTTCTACGCGTTGAGTTTTCGATGCGTTGTAATTTCGATGCGTTGTCATTTCGGTGCGTTGTTATTTCGACGCGTTGTAATTTCTACGCGTTGAGTTTTCAATGCGTTCTAATTTCTAAGCGTTGAGTTTTCGATGCGTTGTTATTTCGGCACGTTGTGATTTCTACGCGTTGAGTTTTCGATGCGTTGTAATTTTGGCGCGTTGTAATTTCTACGCGTTGAGTTTTCGATGCGTTGTAATTTCGGTGCGTTGTGATTTCTACGCGTTGAGTTTTCGATGCGTTGTAATATCGACGCGTTGTAATTTCGATGCGTTGTAATTTCGGGGCGTTGTGATTTCGATGCATTGTAATTTCGACGCGTTAAAATATGGACGCGTAGAGTTTTCGATGCGTTGTAATATTGACGGGTTGTAATTTCGGCGCGTTGTAATTTCTACGCGTCGATATTTCAACGCGTAGAGTTTTTGATGCGTAAAACTACCAACGCGTTATAATTCCGGCGCCGCGACACCTCATAATATCATCAATACACCACGATAAGATCCCGCGTAACTCACCACAGATTGCACCGATTAGCAAATAAGAGAGGTAAAGGAGGATTTAATCGGAAAGCTGTCGCCTTGAGATGTCGGACTGCTCCGTCATGCGATTCCCTTTTGTCTATTCGCGATCTTGTAACCAACTCGCGAAGTGCACTTATGTAAACGATCAAAGATACTTTGCTAGTATCCTGTGCTAAGCTGCTATAACGTGGAATATAAAATGCACTTATGCTGTGGCTGTCCTTGCTGCCAGGCTTAACTCTTTCAGCCTGATTTATCCAGGTACATATCGATCAGGAAGTATTGGAACGCTTTCTTGTCACCATTTTAATTACGTGATATTGAACGAGGTATTGATCAAGGTTCGGTCAATTATTTTACTGAACTTTGAGGTGGAAATTGTATAATATAGTATTCGAATATTTGAGATGTTCATAATTTTGGAACTGGTCGAATTGAGAATTTGTAAACTCGCTATAGCTACTTTCAAGAACTAAAGAAATGGTGAATTGAAAAATTGAAAACTGGAAAAATTGAAAATTGAGAGAATTGAATAATTGAAGAATTGAAAACTTGAAAAATTGAATAATTGAGACATTGAAAACTTGAAGAATTGAATAATTAAAGAATTGAAAACTTGGAGAATTTAATAATTGAAAAATTGAATAACTGAAGAATTGAATACTTGAAGAATTGAATACTAGAAGAATTGAAAACTTGAAGAATTGAATAATTGAAAAGTTGAAAATTTGTTCCATATCGTATTCAAATGTTTGAGACTTCCATAATTCTCGAATTGAAGAATGGCCGCCACTTTTACTCAACTAATCCGTATCCATCAGTTTTGCGAATGAAACTGGCATAAATATTTATGCGCTTTCTACGCTCGCCGGTGTACGACTAGACGCGTACAATTCGACGTTCCAGAAGGCACGGTGCGCGATTTCACGAAATAAAAGAGAATTTTTCATTTGATTTGTTCGGGTCCATCGGGTCTCCCGTGTCCCTTTCACGGATCGTACAGCTGCAGGACTGGATAAACGTGATCGATGCGTTCGCTTTCCAAACTTTCCAAGCTCGATAGAAACCACTCTATATTTTACTTTGTGCTGTTCTACCTGTCGATCATAATCGCATACGCGAAACTATGTGCATTTACTTAGAGTAAATCAAGGGCGCGCGATGAATCAAACAGGAAGTCCGAACAGTTTCTTCCTTCGGACATTGCATAATTTTATTTACACGTAGCGAATCTCATTGCTACGAGAAATGTTTGATTAAATTTCATTTATGACCTTCCGAATTTTGGTATTGGTCGAGTTGAAAATTGGCACACTTCTGTATTTGAATGTTTGAAAGCTTACAATAGCTGGTTGGAAGAGCTAAAGAAATGGTGAATTGAAAAATTGGAAACTGGAAAAATTGAAAATTGGAAGAATTGAATAATTGAAGAATTGAAGAATTGAATACTTGAAGAATTGAATACTGGGAGAATTGAAAACTTGCAGAATTAAATACTTGAAGAATAGAGAACTTGTAGAATTGAAAACTTGAAGAATTGGAAATTAGGAGAATTGAATAATTGAAGAATTGAGAACTTGAAGAATTGAAAACTTGAAGAATTGGAAATTGGGGAGAATTGAATAATTGAAGAATTGGACATTGGGAAAATTAAATAATTGAAGAATTAAAAACTGGAGGAATTGAATAATTAAAGAATTGAAAATTTGGAAAGTTCGAGAATTGAAGAATTGAAAATTTGAATAATTAGAAACTAGAAAAATTGGAAATTGAAAAAATTGAATAATTGACAAATTGAAAACTTGAAGAATTGAATAATTGAAGAATTGAAAACTCGAAGAATTGAATAATTGAAGAATTGAAAACTCGAAGAATCTAATAATTGAAGAATCGAAAACTGGAAACGTTGAAAAATGAAAAAACTGAAGAACTGAACAATTGAAAACTGAAAAGTTAGAAAATTGAAAAATTGAGCAATTAAGAAATGTAAAATAATTTAAAAATGAAAAAATCGAGGGTGCATAAATTTATAAACGCGTGACATGAAAATATTAAAAAGGGAGTTTATCGTCACGCAAAAGATGTTAACGAGAGCGACTCGTTTTCTCGCGGACTGAACAGATTAACGTAATTATATCTTTATTTCTTAATGAGATGTTAAGGGCTGTTTGCAAACGTTACGTCCAGCGTACGTTATTAAAATCATAGAAAAATTACAGGCGTCGTAGGAAGTACTTCTTTTAATTGAAAATTCTAGAATTAACGAGATGCTGGAGGCTTTTACTGCCCCCTTTTACTGTAATGTTCTGCTGCACTCAACAGATTCCACATTCAGCGTTCTGCTCGTTTTCGTTATGCACCTCTTTGTTCATTTCTTTGGTGGTTCTTTCCTTGAGAGAGATTACACAAGAGACTTTCGAACACAACGAAACATCCAGGTAGAATTACCTTCAATTCAGCAGACAGTTTAGTTCAAAACCGAGAGATATCTTGTAACTTGGCAAGCACATTTTCTTCATTAGGCGGAAGATGTCTTTCGATAAATGCACGGGCCGTTGAACGTCTCGATTACTCTTTTTTATTCGCAATAAAATCGTTACTGTACACAATGCATTTCATCGAGTATTATTTCGTTTTATTCTCTGTTATTTCATTTCGCTGATTATTTCATTCTCTGGTTAATTGCACAAAACCGCGAATAAAAAGAACAAACAGGGGCAAAAAGGAAACAAATATAAAAAGAGAAATTCTGCACAGATTTCAAACGTGAATTGTGTAAAAGGTTTAAAATAATCACCTGTAAATGTTCGCGTGGTATTTGTGTATTTGCTTTTGACATGTTACGTACTCTGTGTAACTGGGTCAAAGAACCTGCAACTGTTCTGTGATTTAAAAAAATATCTAACAGGACAGTAAGGACATGTGATAAATTTAAATATGAGAAACCTAATGGTTTCTCCGGTATCTATGAAAGGATTTAATAACCACTGCGGTTAACAGAGATACATGATAATAAGTGGGTATAAAATCGGTTAATGTCGGCGTAAAACTGACATACCTTCGTAATCTATTTACTTTTATCTTTAATTATCAATTAAAAATTGTATGGTACTATAAATAGATATGTTCGGATAAAAATGTTTGCCATTAATTTTAGCAGGAATCATTTACATTTCTGTGATGAACATTTTCTTAAAGCTTCCTGAATTGAGGTTAGGTTAGATTAGAGTAGAATGTTAGAAAGTTTAGGTTAGGT